TTACCCACACTTCTGTCGGTCATCCGTTAGCAACCATGATAGCCCACATCCTCAAGCTATCCACGCAAACTGTCACGCTCGCATGTCGCCCAAGCTTTGGCGACATATGTATTCCGAATGTCCCACATAACCCTCTATGCTTTGCATGGGGTCGCAACCCATGCGTACCGGCATCCGAATATCTTCCTTCCATCTTGGACAAGGCCGAACCCAAGCCAAGTCCATCGAGTCTCGTCAAATGCCTCGCTAGCCGACGGCATAGCGAATGCCATACGTTGACCTCACTCTTTCCAACGATGCGCAATACGAACGACCCCGCGTGTTCGTACTGTCCTCGGGAAGTCCTTTCCCTCGGAGACATAGATTATTCTTCAACAATCTCATGCCCGCCCTTATGACTACCTCCAATGTCATAAGGATGCTCGCTTAGTGCCACAAGGGTGTAAGCACCAGGGGCGGTGGAGAGCATGACACCATGTCACCCCCTATATAGCATTTTATGCATTTAGCCTTCTTCCAGGAGGGAACATCACCTATGCACGAGGAGTCATAATTGATCATAACTAATTCATACGAACTCCGAATGGCGAACCGTCAGTTGCGTTGCGTGTATATCGACAACACGAACGTCCCAGTATTTTTAGCTTCCTCAGATTCCTCCCGTAACCTTCGGAAATACCCAAAATACCCCTCAGCCATGCAACCCGGCCAACACAAACCATTCTAGCTCTTAAGCCCTCGCTCTTCCACACTTAGACTACCTCATAAGCGCATGGATGTCCCAACGGAGTCACGAAAGCACACGCTCAAGTGCGATCCGTGACATAGGGCTCCTGCTGTTTCTGTCGCTATATTCAATCAGTTGCAAACTCGTACGACTGAATTCGAAGCGGTCAGCTTGCACAATAAACGCGTAGCTGCAGTGGTTAGAGTCCCATACGCCCGTGCGTTTTTTAGTGCTTGTCAACAGGACAGTCTGATTTTTCAGTCCGCTAGGGATGGACACTTGGCAACAGCCTACGCCGGAGCAAGTGTCCTGCTCGTCAACAGCCATATCTAGACTATCACATATGGACACGCACCCCGTTGTGTACTGTTGGTCGCCCCGGTAGCCAGTAAAATACGCTAACGTGTGGCAGCCAAGGGCGTAGAATTTGTTCTTGGTGTGGGAGATGGTGTAGGGAGGAGACACCCGCAGCCTGGGGACGTTTCCGCCGGTCCGGTTGCCCGCGTTGTAACAGTCTTCGGCTACATATTGCAGAATTTGGAGCTCACCCTCTTCAAGGGATATGTTGGTGACTTTGATATTGCTTGTCCTAAAATTTGCTGTTGGGGGCTGGGTGGATTGGTTGCAAGTGATGTTGAATTCGGGTTGGAGGTAGCAGCCAGGGCCTATGCCAAATGGATATGGGACTGTGAGATTGCCACAATGATCTTGGCAGCCAGGGAGGGCTTGAGCTGCTGTTGCAATTGGAGTTGCTAATAATAATATCACAACCAATTCCACCATGACCAAAGAGAGCTGCAAAATAATTAGCATCCTCCTCATATTGTATGCATGCAGGCTGCAGCAATTAAATCCTTGTAAGTAATACTATATGCTACAAATTGTGCTAATGTTTTGGGATGATTTTTGAGTGAAGAAAACAGCCAACAACGCTTGCCTTTTATGTGGAAGGAATTAAGACGCGTGGTGGCATTTCGGCTTATGTGGGGAACGGCATTGCATCACATTACATTAAATTGATTTCATAAAATGATGACTAGTCATCTGTTTCTCGTATAACTAGTCATCTGTTTCTCGTATAACTAGTCATCTGTTTCTCGTATGTGATTGTTGATATTATTTTTAAACTTAGAAAAGAATTGCTGAAAAGTTTTTGTGATGTTTATAAAAGAAGGAAAGGTTGACCGGTAAACCTCCAAGAACTTATCAACCTTTACTGGTTTCTAGAAAATTAAAAAAAATGGTAGATTTGATTAAGTCTGTGGTCATTTATGTAAAAAGTAAATCACTGGCAGAAAACACATCTTGAATTCATAAGATAACCAATAAGACCAACAAAGAACAACATATTGGTTTATTTCTAGCATACATCGCAACAAACAAGAAATCTAAGTTCATAGGAAGTTGGTTGCCTGATCCTTAGCAATCGATTATCGCCCATCACCATATGCCATTAACGTCTGGATTTGCATGCTGTCATATCCACTACTTGTACCACTAGAATGACCACAATCTGCTGCTGTAACATCCACACGATAAGCATCTGACTTACGTGAACCAAGCAAGTGCTCAGTCTCTTCTGGACAATCAGCTTTCCCCCATGGATGCTTTGCCATAATTCTCATGCCTTCTAGCTCCAAGGCTACCTCTTTCATTGTAGGCCTTTCCTCCCCTTGTAACCTCAAGCATCTTTTCGCAAGAATGGCCACATTTTTCAGAGTCTCAATGTTTCCATCGTTGACTATGTCATCGTCAAGAATTTGAGTCAAGCGATCTTCCTCCACTGAACAAACAAAGAAGCTTGCTAGGTTTCTCTCTGCCTCAGGCCTGTCAAAACAAAGTGCTACTCTACTTGTTAGTAGCTCTGCTAGGACAACTCCAAAGCTATAAACATCACTCTTTTCCGTTAGTTGATTTGAAAGGAAATATTCAGGGTCTAAGTATCCGAGTGTCCCCTGCACTAAAGTTGTTAGTTGACTTTGATCCACAGGAATCAACTTTGAAGCTCCAAAGTCTGACACTTTTGCTGTGTAATTTTCATCTAACAGTATGTTCGTTGTTTTGACATCCCGGTGTATGATTGGCATGGAAGTGGAGGAGTGTAAGTATGCTAGTGCTCCTGAAGTTTCTGTTGCTATCTTCATTCGTAAGTCCCATGGAAGTGATGATCTTTTGTCCCTTATATTATGAATGTGCTCGAAAAGAGTGCCATTGGTGACGAACTCGTAAACTAGTAAAGGAGTCGGTGTCTCTAAACAGCAACCCAATAGCCTCACCACATTTCTATGGTTGATTTGAGAAAGAACAATCATCTCATTAACAAACTGCTCCTTCTGGGTTGAGGCACCAATTTTGGACTTCTTTATGGCAACCACTTTGTTATCTGGTAATATTCCTTTGTAAACAGTTCCATAGCCTCCTTCGCCAAGGACTTTACTTTCATGGTAATTGTTTGTGGCCTTTTCAAGTGCTTCTGCAGTAAAGATCCTGGTTGTCTCTATTCCTTGGCTAGCAAGGTGTTGTTCTAACAATAAACCACCATTTTCTTTAAAGTATTTTTCTTTGAGTTTGATGAACTTTCTTCTTTGCAGACAGCAATATAACCATGAAATTGCCCCCAGTAAAATCAATAACCCTGTGCTGACACCTGCACATAATTGAAAATCACAACTAAATTTGATTTTATTAATTTACGTGTTTATCTAATATTTCTGAGGGTGGGGAATTAAAGATAGATTGATAATAAGAAAAGCACATACATACAGAGCATTAATCACAACCAACTTATATGTGCTAATTAATAGCTAGCTATATATACGTACCTAATGAAATTTTCAGGGTCATGTTCTTCGATGAAGGATTGTATTTCACGCAAGTCGTCGTTCCATTGATGCTGTCCATTTTGTACCCTTTGTGACATAAACAAGTGTAATTTCCATGTAAATTCACGCAGTCTCCATTGTTACAGGGATTAATTGCAGCTTTACACTCGTCAATATCTAAAAAGAAAAGAAACCCACATGTCACACATGATCAATGGTAATTAAAATAAGGAATTTAATATATTTATATTCAAACAGAAATTGATTTACCCATATTAATTATTTCAAACATTAGGTAAAGATGTCTCACCTTGGCAACCATCTGGGTGGTAGGGGTTCCCTTGGTAACCTTGCAAGCAGCGGCAAATGTAACCAGAGCGATTGATGGGGTTGACACATGTGCTATTTCCCTTGCATACAAAATCCTGCCTCTTTTGAGCTTCATCACATGGGTCTTCTTCATCCCCAATTGCCCAATTAAGAATCACTGGAAGCGTGTCTTTGTTTTTCAGCTCGTCAAAACTTTTGTTGGAGAACGAGAAGTGGCCTTCTTCCACAAAGAAGGCATAGCTGCAGGGGTTAAAGCTCCATACATCTGTATGGTTGTAGTAGCTGTCCAACGTCAAAGTAGTATTTTTCAGCCCAATGGGGATGTTAGTTTGGCAACACCCAACGCCAGAGCAAGATTCCTGATCAACGCTGCGAAGGGTGTCACATAAGGTAAGGCAACCAGTTATGAGCTTTTCTTCTCCTCGGTAGCCTCTGAAAAATGCGTAGGTGTCGCAACCAACAGCAACGAACTTGTTTTTGGTATCGGAGACGGTGAAAGCAGGCGGCAGCTGGATCCGAGGTTTGTTGTTGGAGGTCTTAAAACCCTGCTTATCGTAACAATCTCGGGATATGTAGTTCTGCAATTGCATCTCGCCTTCAGCAAGGGAAAAGTTGGAGACAATAGAGCTTACCCAGAGCAGGTTTGGGGGTTCGGTGGACGTGTTACAAGTGAAGAAAGGAAAGCCCTCCTTTTGACAACCATCAGTTATGCCAAATGGGTATGGGACTGTTAAATTGCCACACTTGTCTTGGCAGTCAGGCAGGGCTTGAGTTAAAGCTTGAGCTGCTGCTGTTGTAATTGCAGCCCCTAAGAATAATAATATTACAAGCAATACTCCCATCATTTTCAATGACACTTTTGCTGTGTAATTTTCATCTAACAGTATGTTCGTTGTTTTCACATCCCGGTGTGTGATTGGCATGGAAGTGGAGGAGTGTAAATATGCTAGTGCTCCTGAGGTTTCTGTCCCTATCTTCATTCGTAAGTCCCATGGAAGTGATCTTTTGTCCCTTATATTATGAATGTGGGCGAAAAGAGTGCCATTGGTGACGAACTCGTAAACTAGTAACGGAACTGGTGTCTCTAAACAGCAACCCCATAGCCTCACCACATTTCTATGGTTGATTTGAGAAAGAACAATCATCTCATTAACAAACTTCTCCTTCTGGGTTGAGGCACCAATTTTGGACTTCTTTATGGCAACCACTTTGTTATCTGGTAATATTCCTTTGTAAACAGTTCCATAGCCTCCTTCGCCAAGGACACTACTTTCAGGGTAATTGTTTGTGGCCTTTTCAAGTGTTTCTGTAGTAAAGATCCTGGTTGTCTCCATAGAGCCCCCTTGGCTGGCATGGTGTTGTTCTAACAATAAACCACCATTTTCTTTAAAGTATTTTTCTTTGAGTTTGATGAACTTTCTTCTTTGCAGACAGCAATATAACCATGAAATTGCCCCCAGTAAAATCAATAGCCCTGCGCTGACACCTGCACATAATTGAAAATCACAACTAAACTTGATTTTATTAATTTACGTGTTTATCTAATATTTATGAGGGTGGGGACCTAAAAGAAAAGCAAATATATACAGAGCATATATTAATTGAGATACTCCATGTTGTGGCACTGGACTTGACTTAAAATAGACAAGAGTCATGCATGCCAGCATATTATGTCTTACAAGTCCCACCTAAAAGAGTGGGACTTTAGGACGGACTTAGACTCAGCTCGAATTCAATCTAAACCGAATCACAAATTGAAAAAATCTTAGGAATCCAATAATCAACTTCACCTAGCACTTTTGATGAGGCACATTAATTGGGCTGTTTCAACTTTCAATGATAGATGTTGCTTCTGTAGTCTAGATAGTGCTTAATTAGGTTAGAATTTTGGATAAAAAAGATAAATAACATAAATGTGGGTGCTAGCTGTTAAAAATAAAAATAGATTAAAGTTCGAATTTTTGGCTATAAATAAATAACTTGTAAATAAAGCATACCTACCTAATGAAATGATAAGCAGGAGAATGGTCTTTGATCGATTGTCTTTGATGCAAATCTTTGGATTCATGCCGTCGTTTTTATACCCTTTGGGACATTTACAAGAATGATCTCCAGGGGAATTTACGCACTCTCCAATACTGCAGGGGTTTGAAGCCTTGCACTCATCAATATCTGAAAATAAAATAAAACCCATATGCATCATGTAAAATCCCAATTTTGAGCTTTAACATCCGATAGAGTTTTTCTATATTAAGGATGCCCCTTATTATAAGAAAATGCACACATCCTTTCTAGGACTATCCTATGTAAAGATTTTATAAAGATTTTATACCCTTTCCATACTGCATTTCAACCATCGAAACCATCTATATTTGAGTTCATAATTAAAGGACTACGTGTACACCCTGCAAAACTATCTATGTAATACATATAGAGCTTTAGAAGAGGGATTCCCTTCTTTGTAAAATCTGGAACATACCTTGGCAACCATTGGGGTGGTAAGGGTTGCCTTCATAACCTGGCAAGCACTGGCAATTGTAACCTGTAGAACGATTATTGGGGTTGACACACTTACTATGTGCCTTGCATGATGAATTCTGGGTCGTCTCTTGAGCTGCATCGCATGTCTCATTTCCAATTTCCCAGTTAAGGATCATTGGAAGTCGCTCTATGTTGTTGAGTTGTTGAAAACTTGTATTGTTGAATTTGAAGTGGCCTTCTTGCACAACAAAGGCGTAGCTGCAGGGGTTAAAGCTCCGAACATACGTATGATTGTAATAGCTTCCCAACGTCACAGTACAATTTTTGATATCGTCGGGGATGGAAGTTAGGCAACACCCGATGCCAGAACAAGAGTCTTTCTCAACACTGTTGAGGCTGTCACACATGGACATGCAACCGGTGATGAATCTTTCTTGGTTTGCACGGTAGCCTATAAAATATGCATAAGTATCGCAACCAACGGCCATGAACTTGTTTTTGGTACCGGAGATGGTGTAAGGAGGAGCCACCCGGATCCACGGGGTGTAGGTTTTGTTGCCCAGCTCGTCGTAGCAGTCATAGGCCGTATACTGCTGTACTTGGATCTCACCGAGATGCACGGCTATGTTGGTAACAGGAATGTTGCTTGTGCCCAAGAGTGCTGTTCCGTTAGCCGCACAATTGATGAAAAACTCAGGTCCCATGGAACACTCTTTAGTAACGCCAAATGGGTATGGAATTGTGACATCTCCGCACTTGTCCTGGCAGTTTGGTAGAGCTAATTGAGCTGCTGTAGCCGCCGCCGCCATCATTACCAAGGAGACTTGCATAATAAGCATCCTCTCATGTCAGAATGGCATGGCATACTATATCCACAACTTAATTCCGTGTAGTATGGTTTATATTCTACAAAACTATATGTTTGTTGAATTATGAGTGAATAAACTGCTAACAAGCCTGGCCTTTTGTAGGCATATTATCCATGTAAGGAATGAGGACTGGTAGGGTCACGCCGTGGCTCAGGGGGCTAGCCCAGAGGATGTCCTCATCTTTAGTAATTTGTCCGTTGATGCAAATGTCCCATTCCCGTTTTTCTATGTTGAAGGTCGTCTGTATAATTTCCAATTACTTACCAAGTGGAACTTTGAAAAGGATATATGCATGTCAAATTCTTGTGCAATAAAGACTGGTGCGCATGGCATTGGCCCATCGAGAGTCATATGGTGGGTTCCAATAATGTTGCAGCCCATGGCCACATGTCGTGGAAAATTTACACAATGATTGCAGGGCCGGTCTTGAGATTTTGAAGGCCCTGTGTGAACCTTAAATTGGGGTCTCATATAAGCTAACACAAATTTACACCATTACGCAATGCCACATACAATAATTTTTTTTCTTTCTTAAAGTGACCAAAGTACCCCTACTTCCAAGGGAAAAATTGAAATTTCACAAAAGAATTAAATTTGATTAAATCGATTAAATTGGATCAGGGATGTTACACCTTTTGAATAATCACTATGATTGTGACGATGAGACTTTGTCGTAATAGATCATATTCATATATTAAATATTTTTTAACACCTAATTTATTATGTATCAATATTCCAAGAACATCATTAATTGGATGCAACTTTTTTGGTTGAGTTAGTTGGATGCATTATGCAATATCATCAGTAGCCTATGCCGATTGTCCGAGGCCTTGGGTGCTTGGGCGAGTTTATGAGATCCACGTGTCGTTGTACGAGTGGAGGGTCAGATATGGTACAAACAAGTTGGATGCATTATTTTTGCAAAATTAAATATCTTTTTAACACCTAATTTATTTTGTACCAATATTCCAAGAACATCATTAATTGGATGCAACTTTTTTGGTTGAGTTAGTTGGATGCATTATGTTTGCAAAATTAAATATCTTTTTAACACCTACCACTTTACTAACCACATTTTTAATTGAGGTGAGCCCTATATATGGAAGTCTTATCTCTATGGGCACTTGAAAAAAAAAAAACTTCATGAGTAATTGTAGAGCTAGGGTCAAGTCAATGATGGGGACATACGCACATGACAAGTAATGTATGCACATAAGAATATAGATATTATTGGGGCAATTAGAATATACTTGCTGAAGAGTATATATATAGTGCCATGCATGCAGTTGAGAGACTCAGTGTCATCATTTGAGGAATGAGGTGCTTAGTAGTTGGATCTATTTCAATGAAATCATGTGGTTGAGATTGATTTAAGTGTTTAAACTTGTTTGTGTCTAATGACTTGCCAAAAACCCACATGTACGTA